GTCTGCAAATTTCCGCTTTTTCTGCAAGTTCCGCGGTTCTCCCAATTCCACACGTCTGCAAATTCCGCAGTTCTGCACATTCCGTGGTTCTGCATTTCTGCATCATGTATGAACGCGGCCTAAATGCTAATGAAGGCTGGTTATGGCGACGTAACCGTAAAGTGAACCGTCCACGAGTGTCTTCTTGCCGTAACTCGAGAAGGTCGCAACTGCGGACAAGTGCGCGGAAGACGTGAATTTGAATTTCTGCTAATATTTCCAGTTTGTTTTGAATCGGATGTTGGATTCACTGCCGTCGTATTTGGGATGTTGAAATAGTTTCCAAATTTCTGCGATCACATGCTATTTCCTTGTTGCTCGGATGGAAGATGTCGCACCGCTTGTGTTCGATTTCTTCATGGAACGGCACATTGTTCTCAAAGAAGAGTGGCTTTCAGATGTGCTAACGTTCTTGGCATCATTCTTCGAAAGGAAAACTGTGGGTTTATCTAGTTCTATCTTGCTCGATATTGTTTGAACCTCAAAAAGAACTACATTCCTTGCAGAAAGATGTTCTCGATGACCCACTGCGAATCGCCAGCTTGGTATTTGAACAGTGGAAGTATGCGGATCTTGAAGACTCTACTTATCCACTGTTGGGGCAACTTTCGATAAACCGGGATACTAGGAAAACACTCATCAATCAGCCTTTAATTCTTCAGGTGCGTCCATCCCTGTGTGTTTAACCAAGTAAGTTAAGAATTGCTTAGTGACCCGATCTAGTGAGGTAAACCTGTCAATGCTACATAGAAAACACTAGCTCGAGCAGGCGCTATTTCAATACGGTGGAGAATTTCGATGCAGTAGTGCGGGCGCAGTCGGTTAGGGAGGGGTGGGGAGTCGGGCATCTTGCACTTTCGCCAGTTCCCATTGTTGTGTCGAGCCGTCAAGAAGAGATTTGTGAAAACTGGTGAAGAAATGAAGTGACTGCAGTCAAACCATGTAAAGGCTATTTGTCAACTGTTTTGAAGCAGTGGACACAATGATGAAAAGTTGTGAAAGTGAAGAGGCCCTCCTCCCTACAGCCGAACGGCGCCCTGGTTCGAGCCCTAGCCCTTTCCTAAGAAAATGATTGGTTTACCCATCCACGAATCTTCCCCTAGGTTTAGGCGAAATCCTCTCCCTAGCGCCTATTGTCGAAGTTTTTCAGTGCCTCGGTTGCTTCATAACAACATGGCTTCCGGTACTGAAATAATCCCTGGGTGTAGTAGTGTAGAGGATCAGCTTATCTGTTGGTTTCTTGTTTCTGGCCGTCCACTCCGAATACTCGTTTTTGAAAGGTAATTGGGGTCCTTAATTTCTTAATTTGTGAACCTTATCGGACCTTATTTAATGATTCGAATCGAATAGCCAGCTCTGCTATAGACCTGCTCATCTTATGTAAGAGAGGACATTCAAATAGTCGCACATGCGCTCGCGTTTGAGCTGAGCCACTGGGGAACTCCCACTCTATGTGGTATGTAAATTTGATGCTCTAATTCTGAGCCAGGTTTGTAGGCGGAACTTTATTAACGGCCTAACGTTTCGACACAGATCGCTGTCCTCCAGGGCCTGAACGGTAGCTCCAGTTTTTCTTTGTTGTAAATATATTGGGTTGGCACATAAGTACTTTCGTTTTTTTTCAACCGGAAATTTCGTTCCAAAGATGAAATGTTTTGCTAGCAAGCTTGATATCATCTGATAGGAAACTTCACGTAGTTTTAGAATATCAAAACGGCTTCGGTTGAGGGAATAATTTTTGTGGATTTTTTAGTCGTTGAAGTTGAAAGTGAAGATCGGCGCACCTTCGACAACTGCCTCTATTTACGTATAGTCGAAGTGCTAAAATCGCTTAAGCTGCTCCATACATTTGGAAAAGGTCGAGCTAGAAGTTCCAGCAAGGGAATCTCACTAGGACGCTTTTGGAACGAATTTCAAGGAATTTTGAGTAGCCTACGCGTTCACTCGTTTCGACCGATAATGTGCGGCAAGGCTCACGTCTGTCTCACCTGAAATTTTATCGCTAATAGTCCTTGAATGTTTCGGCCTGAAATGTTTTGCATTTTCTGTAGCAAATTTTTGTGCTATATTAATATTGCCTACTGAAATCTTGCTTGTCGTCCATGAGGGTTTGCTTTCTGTAAAGGTTCAGGGTTAGAATCATTACGGAACGCGAAGTCGTTGAGAACTAGCGTTCCCGTTCTCCACGAATTTTATGCTAACATTTGAATGTTTCGCTAATGTGTTCTATATGTTCTGATAGCCAATTTCGTGCTCTATAACACTGCGTTGCAGTTATTTTAAAAATCCGTTTGATGAACCTGTTTTTCAGGGTGAGATGATATGGGATGTCAGGTGCCGATAAGCATCAGCACTTCAGACATCTCCTCCTTTTCGCATTTAACGGAGGTATCAGAGCTGCTGATGCTGCTCGGGAAATTCGCGAAGTGTACGGAGAAGATGCCCTCTCTCTCAAAACAGCCCAAAATTGGTTCAGACGCTTCAAGAGAACTGTACTGATATCTCCAGTTGAATGCGCGGAAAAGCGAGGAGATGTCTGACAGTGATGATCGTCTTATCGAGCCTGACCATTCCATCATTACCACCTGAAAAAAAGGTTTCATCAAACGGATTTTTAAAATAACTGCAACGCAGTGTTATAGAGCAATTGGCTATCAGAACATATAGAACACATTAGCGAAACATTCAAATGTTAGCATAAAATTCGTGGAGAACGGGAACGCTAGTTCTCAACGACTTCGCGTTCCGTAATGATAACCTGAACTTAACAGAAAGCAAACACCTCTGGAGAACAGATTTCTATAGCAGTGTTATAGAGCACGAAATTTGCTATCAGAACATGCAAAACATATCAGCGAAATTCAAATATTAGCATAAAATTTCAGGTGGAACAGACGTGAGCTGCCCAATATCGGCGAGGTGAAGGTTGGTAACTTCAAAATTCTTGAAATTCGTTCCAAAGCGTCCTAGTGATATTCCCTTGCTGGAACTTCTAGCTCGAACTTTTCCAAATGTATGGAGCAGCTTAAGCGATTTTAGCACTTCGACTATTACGT